GGCGGCCACGGGCCCGGCGGGAGGGACCGCCCCGCCGAGGGGACCGCACCGCGGATGGGACCGCACCGCCTTAGCCCCGGCCGCGGCCCCCCGCGCCTGGCGTTACAGTTATTTCGGGTGTCGCAAAGAGGCTCCGTGAGACCCCCCCGCAGCGCTGCCGCCAGCCCCGCGGCCCCCGCACAGGAAGGACACGGAGCTGTTGGAGCGGGGCCAGGGGAGGCCACGGAGATGGTGGGAGGGGGGGCTGAGAGAGTTGGGGGGTTCAGCCTGGAGAAGAGAAGGCTCCGGGGAGACCTTAGAGCCCCTTCCAGTCCCTAAAGGGGCTCCAGGAGAGATGGGGAGGGACTCTGGATCAGGGAGGGGAGCCATGGGACAAGGGGGAAGGGTTTGACACTGAAATAGAGGGGATTTAGATTAAGTATTAGGAAGAAAATCTTTACTGGGAGGATGGTGAGAGCCTGGCCCAGGTTGCCCAGAGAAGCTGTGGCTGCCCCATCCCTGGAGGGGTTCAAGGCCAGGCTGGAGGGGGCTTGGGGCAACCTGGTCTGGTGGGAGGTGTCCCCTGGTCTAGTTGTTACTGGGTGGTCTTTAAGGTCCCTTCCAACCCAAACCATTCTATGTGTAAAGAGTCTCTTCACTCATATTTCTGCTTCATTAGCCCAAAAATAGGAACTTACCTTTTGCAGCATTCTCTAACACCCACTGCACCCCTGCACCACGCTCACTCCTGTCTCGCACACGCTGCCGGGTGGGAGCAGAGCCCTTAATGTACCTTCAGAGCTGCTCTGTTCTGTGAAAAACTCCAGCAGACTAATGGCTTCCTAAGCTTTGGACAGCTCTCTTGCAAAACTACTTTTTCTGCAAGTGACACATATACTGAAATTATCAACAATGAAACATCATTACATATCAGACAAGAAAAGTGTGGCTATGGCTTAAAATCCATATCATTTTTAATTCAAAGATTACCTGCATTGTTAAACTAAGCAATTATAACACATCCAACAGATTGCAATGCGCCATTCATCTAGAAAGCTGTTCCCGTAAAAAGATCAATGTATATACAGAGCTGAAATACATATTTAGCTGTTGTTGCAGAACACCCTTTAACAGTCACAGCCAGGTGAACGTGGTTATTCCCCATTTGTGGATACACAAATCGGTGTTCTCTAAAATGAAATAGAAGTTCCTGTATTTTTCTAGAATGAAGTGTATGCACTGGGACAAGGAACTGCCCTGACTGGAAGTGATGAAGGGGTGAGCAGTATTTATCCTACAGGGCTTTTAATTCTTCCTTGCATTACTGTTTCACGTCAGTACTTGGTGACTTGACCTTCTGTTGCACAACAAGCACTTAAACCAAAAAACGTTAATTCCGTTTCCTTCCCGCCTCACGTAGCGGCCACTGGCACGGCAACACGGACAGCCAGGGGAAACGTCGATCCAGGCACTAGGAGCAGCTTATCTTCTGAATGAAACAGTACGAGCACAAACACAGAAGTACACAGAAAGGATTCACTAATCACCTCTCTTGCAAGATGCAACCAATGAACTAAAATATAGAGTGGCAGCAGTTATTTTTAGAAATTATTGTATGTTCTGGACTTGCAGAGAGGAAGAAAATACTGGAACAAACACTTGAAATTACAACCAGTTTTCAAATGTTCTACAAGTAGATCATCCTCTGAGGAAAGTCAGTGACTAGATGCCGTAATGCTGAGATGCTCCCACTTCATCTCTGGGGCTGTAGTTCCAGAAAAGTAGGATTTTCTCTGGATTTATTTCTTCAACCACAAAATCTTGCTAACATACCTTCCCTTATTCTGCGAGGCTTAACAGATAAACAAGATGCAGTGGGCCTACCACGTGGAGATTTTCAAAAAGCCTTTGATGAGGTTCCACACCTAAGGTGGTGGAAAAAGAGAGTTGTCGCAGGACTGGAGGATTTATGGATCTGCTAAAAGGTTACAGGATACAAAAGTTATGGCTGTTGAAAAGGCAGGAAGGAAAGAGCACGGCATAATGGTCATTTTTCAGAGTAGAG